TGTAATTGTAATTGTAACTGTAATTGTTAGATGTTGTACTATGTGAGCCGCCCAGAGTCCCCCATTAGGGGAGATGGGTGGAGATAAATCCAATGTAGTAGTAGTAGTAATAATTATAATAACAACAACAACAACAACATGCTCAGACCAATACTATGGAATTTTTTTCTGAAATGTCCTACAGTATTTATTAGACTGCAGTCTTAGAGCATATTTTTCTTTTATGGAAGAATACCTGTGGAAAACAGTAAGACTGAAGGCAGATATATTAGGACATAATTATTCATTCTTTTAACTGAAACTGCAAAAATATAATAATAATTACAAAATATACAATTTACAGTAAAAAAAATAACACAAGTAACAATCCTCAATATTAAAACTCAGTAAGAATTACGTAAGTCTTGCCAAAAGGTTGATTGGTTTGGAGGAGGTAAAATAGTTGTCATGGATATATAGAAAAATAAAGAAGCTGTGTCTCCTCAAAATCATGCACTCCAAGTTGTGCCACTCTTTGTTTACAGGTGATACCTTCCAGAGTACTGTCTCCCAAACCAAGCCAAGAGCTCCATTATTTCCTTCCGATAGCACACTTTATCGTTTTAGCACCTGCCAGCAACAGTGAAAAGGGCATATGAATTTTTTTAAGGGAACTCCATATAGAGACAAGCATGGGATAAAGGCAAACAACTCTTAAGGGAACTTGTTTTATATATAATACATGGCGCTTTCAAAACTTGGATTAACTGAAGCTCTTCAGCTTCTCTGGCAGCTATTCCCTTCCATATATATGAATGAGTAAGAAAGCCCACTGAGTTTCTGTTACTGCCATCATAGTTACTGAGCCTAGCAAGAAATTCTCTTGCCTTTTTTCCTCCATTGGGATTCCCTCTTGGTTACATCATCTATGTGGGCTCTTTGGCAAGATATTTCCCCATGCCTTTGCTATAATGTGTTTCTCAGTTAACTGCTCATCAGATCGTTTTTCTTCTAAGCCCCATATGCTGATTATTTTTATATTAACATTATATTTTAGTCTATTTTATCTGTCTTACCAGCCTTGAAAAAAGAGTAAGAGATATTGTCCACAAAGCTTTTTGGGATTGCTTGGAAACACAGTTAAAAGAAAACCCACCTTCATACGATCATGCAATTAAACTTGTAGGAGAAATTAAAGAGGTAAGATAAAATGCATTTGTTGTCATATGCAAACTTTGAATGTTCCTTGTCTATCCACAGATCTGATTATTTAAGAATGACTGAAATAGCAGCAGCCTTATACAGGCTGGTTGTACAACTAGTGATCTCCAAGGTTTTATGGATAGATCACTATCCTCCTTTTATTGGCCACTGGTATTCATTAAATTATAATTAAACATAATGACTTTGAGAATAGAGAATGTGAAAAAAAATCAGTGTATAAAGAAATGGATGGGATTGAATAGAATAGAATACTTATTCTGGACATGCCTACTTCCCTCTGTCCCACTCACATCTGTCTCTTAACACATTCTAAGAGACCCATGCAGAACCCTTGACACCATAAAAAGTCATGCATCCATGCTGTACATACTTTTGAAGATCCCCATTATTTCCTGCTTTCCATTGTAAATCTGTGAAATAATTTTTATTTTCTAATGAGTTTACAAATTAATCACAAATCTAATAGAAGATCTAGGTTTATCCAATTTTTTGATGAGGGGTGTTCTTACATTGTACTACAGGTAGTCCTCACTTGACCCTAATTGGGACTGGCAACTCCATCGCTAAGTGACGCGGTTGTTAAGCAAAATGTCATGTGACCACTCCGCTTAGCGATGGCAGTTCCAGCAATCCCAGTTGCTGTCATTGAGCGAATCCCACACAGTCGTTAAGTGAGGACCTACCCGGATCCAAGCCATTCTTGAAGGAAGGTAAGGGACTGCCTCCACTTCCACTCCCCCCATCCACTTATCTTCTCCCCATCTCTGCCCTTTTGGCTGCTTGCCTGCCCACTGCCATCAGCTGCCCCTGCTTCCTGGCCCTGCTTGCTCCTATGCCTGCCCCTACCAACTGGGGCCTTCTTGTGCACTGCCTTTTTTTTGTGTGCCGGCCAGGACCTCCTTTTGGGCACTGGCTGAGTCCTTCTTTCATGAAAGGAGATCCTGGCTGGTGCGCAAAAGAAGCATCTGTCCAGTAGTGGTGCACGGCATGCCATACACCCACCTGCCTGTAGCTCTCATCCACTGGCTTGCAGGAGGTTTCCATAGCACCTCACCCACATATGGCTGGGATGGTGAGCCCAGCAGAAGGGAGGCAGGCAAAGACGATGGTCAGCTGGGGGTGGGGGGGCAGCAGCAGCAGCAGGAGGGTCGGTTGCAAATGTGGGTGGGCCTGAATTTTTTTCATGTGACCATGGGGGTGCTGCAACAGCCAGAACTTTTAGGACCAATTGTAAGTCCATTCAGTGTTGTGGTAACTTTCAAATGGTCGCTAAACGAATGGTCATTAAGTGAGGACTACCTGTATGTGTTATGTTCCAAATGATCCTGTTTACACTCTTAAAGTACTCAGAAAAGATGGGGTAGTATACTCGAATAACGTAAATGTGGGCCTTTGTGTTTCTTTGTGAGTTTCAGATGCATTTTATGGAACACTTTGGAACATGGTATGCTAAGTTAGATGAACTGTGGTTTGATCCATTAAAGAAGATTTTACTTTCTTAGAACCTAGTACCTTGTCTTCTTGTCTTTTGGAGACATGGTTGGGTGATGCAAATCCTTTATATGTAGTTTTGAGATACATTTTGTTGCTTTGCTCTCTCACTCCTTTAAGATCTGCCATATACTGCTCTAAAATGAATATTCTAGGACTTTTTATTTTCCCCTAATCTGATTTATGATCTAACGCTACTGAGACCTAACGCTACTGAGACATTATGCTGGTCATTGTACTCTGTCACTTGTCTGAACAAGATTTTTCCTTTTGGCTTTTTAGGTCGGCCTTTACCTTGTATGTTGAAATCCTGTCTATTGCTTCTTTGTAGCATAGTATTGGGAGAGGAAGGTCTTGCAAAAAGCATAGGGCGTGCAGAAGGAGAAGTGCTTAACCCTCCTCTGTTCTGTTTGATTTTTTTCAATGTTTTCCCCAATTGAACTGCTAAAAGAGGCTTTAGAAAAACAGTAGAGCAAAAATCTATAGTCGACAGCATCATGAATATAGTTGGAGAAATGTCCAATTTCTATATGGGTGTTTCAGTAAATAAAACTCTGAAATCTGTGAACATTTGACTTTATATTTTTATGTGACCGCTTTTCATAGTAACATAGTGATTTTTATTTTCAAAATGGTGATGACAGCAGTACTAGGAACTAATAAAAAGGGCATTACTTTCTTTCAGGCTCTCTTGTCTTTTTTGCTGCCTGGCCATACTCGATTAAGAAATCAGATTACTGAAGCTCTTGATCTGGAGCTGATAAAACAGGAGGCTGAGAATGGTGCCCTTGACATTTCTAAGCTGGTGGAATTCATCATTGGAATGATGGGGACACTCTGTGCTCCAGCGAGAGATGAGGAAATACAGAAGTTGAAAGACTTTCATGAAATTGTTCCCCTGTTCAGGTGCTAGAGGGAGAAAAAAAGGAATATTTCTTCAGTTCAAAATGGCTTAAACAGCTGCATCATTTTGATAGGCATTGAATGCTCTGTGGATCACTTGAATATATTTTCTTCTTTGCTTTTTAATGGGGATGCTATGATGAGAATGCAGAAATTTGGAATAATAAAGGAAGATTATTCTTTGGTGAAGGATAATTCTTGTAATGTTTTGCAGTAAGGTGTCTTTCTAACTCTTTGAGGTGAAAGATCAAGCCTTTTACAGCAGACCACAACCAGGAAATAAAGATTCATTTGGAGTTTCATTAATCAGGTTTAAGGTCAAGAAATAAGAGGTTAGCATACAGAATCTTGGAAATGAAGCAAAACTCCTGCCCTTATTTATGAGTGAATTCATAATAGTGGGCTCTTTGTGAATTGTTTGAACCTCTTTTTCCCAGAATGTGAACCTTAAGGGCTGACTGTCCTTTTCCAGATAAGCTCAGCAATGCAACATCCATCTGCTCTTTGTTAGTGATGTTTTGAAATACACCCTTTTCTTTCCCAGCCCCAGTGAGTTCACTTATTTAAAGGCTCCTCTGACTAAATGTGGATTCCTTCCACATAAAAAAACTACATGTTGGGAGGAACCATACTAGCTTAGGGTTCTGCTTCATGTGCCATTTTTCTGTGTAGAAGAAATTATTTGATGGGGAGCATTTGATCATGACAGATCCTCTTCCCTGGCATTCAGAAGTGGTACTGCTCTGAGACAGGCATATGATACCAGTAGGAATTGGGCTACAGTTATCAGAGTAAATATGGATAAAATCATGCTATTAGTCTTTCTTCAGAAATAAATCCAAATTGATTCAGTGGAACTTGCTCTCAAGAATGTAGGTATAAGATTGCAGTTTAAAGATAATTTGTAAAGTAATGAAGCTTTCTCCAAGCCGGTACCTTCCAGATATGTTATAATTCAGATCCCATACAGTAATTTCCAACCACCAAGGCTGAAAGTGATATTATCTCTGTATTATGGGAATTCAAGATAAGCACTTCTAGTAAATGATTTAAAGCATAATAATAAAGGATAATATATATTATATAAAGCATTATTCCAACATAACTACTGTGTGGATATTACTTTATTATTTCCATAAAATTTCCTTGAAAGAAGACTAATCCAGAAATTCTTCATTTCCTTTTAACTTACATGCATAGTTAGTTTTCTTGACTGTTCAAGGCTTATTTTGCTTTTTAAAAGTATGGCTAAATCTTGAAAAGCTTAATGTCTTTTTATTTTTTACAGAGCAATTTTCTCTGTGTTGGATTTGATGAAAATGGACATGGCTAATTTTGCTGTCAGTAGCATTAGGCCACATTTAATGCAGCAGTCAGTTGAATATGAAAGAAAGAAGTTTCAGGAACTGTATGAAAAACAGCCAAGTATGATTTTTCTTGTCTTCCTTTACTAAATGATATACTTCTGTTGTTAAAATGGAAAATTATGGATTCAGGATAAATATTCAATTTCATTTTTAACAACTTATTTAACCATTCAGTAATCAACAAAACATTACACACACACACACACACACACATACACACGCACACAAGACATGCCACCTGTCCCCCCACCCCCTGAAATTATACAGGTCAAAACAAATGATAAAATAACACCAAATGCATGCATAGCAATGTGATTTCCTATACCTTTATATATCATAGTTCAAAAAAAAAAAATTACACCAGGTTTCATGGTCTTTGCTTTAGTAAATCTGGTAGCTATTCACAAAAGTAGAATTAATCTCTTGTGTTGGACCATTGTAAATGTCCTGGGAAAAATGGACAATAATGATCAGTAACAGTAATTATTCAAGCCTGTTGTGTTTTAGTTATGATAATGAGTAACTAAATGGGTATGAGTCTATCAGTTTTATGACAACTCCAACATATGATCCCTATCACTTGTGGGCTTGATTCAAGCCCTTCCTGATTCCTTTGTGGGGCTGGGTGTGTGTGATAACCTGGATTTGGGAGATTATCAATGCTTTCTTTGGATTTAGGTTGTTGGGGAAGGTTCTGGAGCTCATGGTGAATATTCAGCTGCAGAGAAATCTAGATCAAGCAGATTATCTGCACTTTTCCATCATGGTCCAGGCCTGGGTATTGGATAGAGATCACATTTGTCACTCTAGTGGGTGATGTTTGTTGGGACCTTGATGGGAGAGTGTACCCTTCTTGTTCCTACTTGACCCCTAGGTGGCTTTTAATACCATTGACCTTATTATCCTCCTTGAGTACCTATGGAGGTTGGGGAATGGGGCACTGTTTTTTAGTGGTTTCATTTCTATCTCAGTGGTCAGTTCCTATCAGTGGTAATAGGGGAGGAGAAAATAGCCCACTGTTGTTCCTGTGGCGGAATATCAGATGAGTTGATCTTTTCCCCCGTAATTAACATCTGTATGAAGCCACTAGGAGAAGTTATATGGGGACTTAGGGTGCATGTCTTGTCCTGGAGACTGGTGGGGTCTGGATGAGGTTCAAACTAGTTTAAAGTGCTAGTTTTGATTTATAAAACTCTATGGCTTAGCACCTAGTACTTGTAGGACTGCCTACTCCAATCAGATTCAAACCATCATCCCATATTTTGAAGAGATATTTTGTTGTATTTGAGATTACTTGGAGTTTAAATGAATTAAATATAAGTCGCTCTACTGACATCGTTAATGTTCTTGTTTGATAAAATCTCATGAACTTAAGTAAAGATGAAACAAAGTTAGACTTTGCAATGAATTCCCATCAGTAAGCATTTTAATTAAATCTTCTGTCTTCCCATTCCTTGATCATATTTATCTGTGTACTTAAAATTCAGGTGATAAAGGAATTGGAGAAGAGCAGAAGAATCCAGGCCCTGAACCTATTTCTGCCTTTTCAAAGCTTCTAAAAAGTGTTAAACATGGATTTGTGATAGTGTTTAATTTCTTAGTGTCAGGGAGGAATATTTTGCTGGCCGATTGAGAGTCCAGCATTAGCTCAACCTGTACACACTGAATTCTTTTTGAGTTTCAAAAAAATGTGAGTTGTTTCAATTAAAAAACAAAAATTGTATTTTTAACATGCCTAACTTTCTATTCTACCAAATGGCTTCCTGATTGTAGGTGATTTTAAAATAATTATTTATTATAAATAATTCTTTGTAATGTACTAAACTACATAAGGATGTTGGAAATGTTTGAAACAGGGTTTACATTTTAGGAAGAGTAGCCACTTTAATCACAGCTCTTCTGCCAAACAGTGATAAATAAAATGCTGCCATGACTTAAACTCTGATTTGATCTTCCACAAGACAAAGTGGTGCTGCTTTCTGGAGCTGTCTGAACTCCAGGCACTGATGTGATCTACTTTGTGAGGCCTTGTCTCAACATGGAAAAGCAAGGGGTTTGCTTACATACCTCCAATCAAATGTGTCAAGGTGGGCCCTTTGCTCCAGGGAATATGCCTTCTGTGTGTACTCCTGTGTGCACGGAAGACTGTTGAAGGCCAGCAAAGTAGCCAGTTGGACACAGCACAGCATCTCTGATATACAACCACATCAATGGAGCACTTTGAAGCCTTAATCCAAATAAAGTGGCCCTTTAAAGTGTTTGAGATTTTGCACAAGCTGAAGAGTTATTTTTCTTTAATTGGTGTGAATTCTTTATAGTATTTTTTCCTAACTACTCTTAAACAGTTGGGCTAATGAGTAGTCCAGTAGATTCTTGAAAATATTTTTGTAGCTATTTAACTTGAGAAATTTGCTAGAACCAGTCCACATAAATGGGAAAAATCCTGATGAAAAATATGTTAGATTGCCTTGTCAGTCAAGCTGTATTCAACAACTTGTGAATAGAACAGATTCTTGACTGGGTCTGTAGGCAGTTGTTTAAAGAGTACAGCTCTTTAAGGTAACAATGATAATAATATAGAATATGTGTTCATATATTTCCATTTTAACCAATTTAACAGCCAACTGATTAATCCAGTAAATTCTTTTGATTTAGAAGTCCAGAAAAATCAGTTCCTTGGATGAAATGCTAGAAAATACAATCAGCACAGACCTTTAAGTTATCTTCTGATGCCCTTATTCAAGTATCTGCACCATTAGAAATGAATATAGAATGACTAAGAAGTGGGCTTTCTTAGCTATTGAGCCTTGGTTAGTTCCTTCCAAAGGAAATCTACCTGAAGCCAGCATTTATTTTTAAGCTCCAAAATGTACTTTTTAAAATTAGGACTGTTTTCGTATACTATACTGTATTGCATTTATTTATTTTGTAAATCACTCTGGACTCAGTTATGGAGAAAGGCAATATAAGTTTGGTTTAAATAAATAAATAAATTGCTGGGGAGATGACTGAAAGAAAAAAATCTCTCTCTCTCTCTCTCTCTCTCTCTCTCTCTCTCAAATAGATTCCTTAGATTTTGTGACTGAATGGCTGCAAGAAGCCATGGCTGACCTACAATCTAGAGTTGCCTGTGCTAGTAATAATGATGTTGCCAGTGGAGTTCCAGCACTGTGTTCTGTTGCTGTCCAAAATCATGCATATATTCAACTGCTCAAGTGGAATCATCTGCAGAAACCTTTTCCAGAAGTAACTATATCTGTAATTTTTGAAGTCTAGATAACAACAACTGCTTGGAATCTTAAGGCAGATTTTAAATCAGCCTTGCTGTTATTAAATCAGCCCCTCCTGTTAAGGCAATGCAGAATTTCACCCAAGGGAATAAGGTAGTCTCCTAGATGTGAGTGGGTGATGATGGGGGAAGAGTGCTTACCTCCAGAAAATTGTTGTGGTTTTTTTTATTGGGTGTACAGGAGAATCCATTACTTGCTTGTGCCAATGGAGACATGGAAAGCTCCATTTCTCATCTGATAGCCCATTTTATTTCTAGGATAGCTGTGGAGGAGAGCACCAATACTCATAAGTGGTTGTCGAGAAAAGATACTCTCCTTCCTCGCTTTTTCTCCCCTTCAGGCTGCTGCGATTGATAAAAACCAGACAGATCTCCCAGATGTCTAGCTTAGAAACAGGAGGCCAGCAGTGAAGAGGCAAAATAATTTGTTTCTGTACTCCATGTAAATCTTCCCCTGTTCCTCCTCCATGTCAAGGATGGACATCCATCCAGCTGGCCAAGTGCCATGCCTCTTCCAGACAAGCCCATTGCTTTCTTTGTGTTGGATGTGCTGGTGCCAGAGCCTCCTGTGACTCTTCGTCAGAGGAACCAAGTGACCTCAATATTCTCTACTAGTCTACTACATTTTAGAGTTTGCATTTCTTTTCTTTTTCTTTTTAAATTAACATATTCTTTATTCACAAGGGAAGCAGGCATAAAAGTGAGTTGATAGGCCGCTAACCAGTGCAAAATATTGGAATCGCATGACGTCTCTGTTGAAGGATATGCTTAGGTTAGTTTTCCAGGCACAATTTCAGGAGTTGCTCTTTGAAGCCCTAACTAGTTTGGGTCTTTCTGAGAGACTGCCTCTCCTCTTTCAAATCTGTCCAGATAATGAAGGTCTATAGGAGAGGCTGTCAGCCCTTCAAGGTAGATCAGACTAGGAATCCAAAGTCATGTAGGTCAGTAATATTTTTATTGTAAATCTATAATAACAGAATCTTGCAAGTCTAAATGCGCTTAGCACCTTGCTCCCTTTATCTTCATGAGAACTAGGGAGGGGCTTGCCTGAAACATTTATTCAGGTTACATTCCTGCCCTGGACTCAGGCCTCTTTTATCTAACCATTGTCTTGTAGCAGCTCTTCCTCCTGTCCCTCAAGGCGATACCCTCTTCCCTCTACATTGGCTTCCCTCAAGAATTTTTTACTTTTAGAACCCTGATTTGGGGGTACATGGAAACAGCCTTATCCTGCATTTCAAACTCTTAGGATTTGATATGTATTCCCGGGAGAGTTTGAATTTGCACTCCCCTTATTAACCTTTTAAATGTTAATAAATTTACCGTATGTGTTTTGATTTGTTTTTATCCTGGACTTTTTATTTGCACATTATTTTATATGCATATATTATTTTAAAGATGTAAACTACCTTGAGTGTTCAGTTTGAACAGAAATAGGGAACATGAATTAATTAGTTAATAAAAGTCATATAACTTTTTTGGACTGATTTATATGGCTGATTTAGATTATTGGACTAGCTAAAACCTTAAGATTGGCTACAGCATCACTGGAAAGTGTATTAGGTAATATGAACATTTTGTCCCTGAAGAGCCAGTAGAGTTCATGTTGGACCTGCGATAGGAAGATTGAGGTTCAAATTCCTACTCTACCATGAACCTTATTGCCTGAACCTGGGCATGGCATTACCCTTAGTCCACCCTAATCTAAGAATCTCACTGAATTATTGTGAGGATGAAAGGAAGGATTGTGAAGCACTAACGGTGAGAATGCTGTATGATTGTTTATACTGTCTTTGATGTATTTGATCATTCTAACATTTTTTTTTCTTATTTTGCTGGTCATTGACCATAATTAAATAAATCTGATTTGATTTGATCTGTGACTTAAGATATTCAGCAATTAGGGAGAGAAGATTATGCTGAAACCTTTTAGACAGTTACGTTTGTGTATGAATAGAATTATCCTGAAATCATAAGAATCTTGATTGTGTAAGCAAACATTATGATTTGGTATATCTCATCCATTTCTACTTAAAAAAAAATTGGTATACATTTTTCAGTGGAAGGAAAGCGGTTTTTTTTAACTGTCTGGCAACCTATTATGTAAAATCTGATTTGTTATTTGCACAGAGAGTCATTCTTTTTTAACTAGTGGACAAGTTCCATCCAGCCTCCAGCTTCCCCTTTTTGGAGAATGGTGTAGAGAAGGTGGTTAGACTGCAGCTCCAGAGGAAGTGGTTTATCAGCACTTTTTTCATTCAGGTTTCAAGTGAGGATATAGCACTGAAATAACAGTAATCATACTTGTGGATGACTTCTGATGGGACCATGATAGAGTGATGTAACTCTTCTGGGCCTTTTGGCAGCTTTCAATGTCATCAGTCATGGTATTATTTTGGACTGACTCTGGGGTTTGGGAATTGGGGGCACTGTTTTTTAGTGGTTCTTCTCATTTGAATTACTGTAATGTACTCTATATGGCGCTGCCCTTGAAGACCACTCAGGAGCTACAGATGATCCTGAAATGTGCCTATGTGAATAATTATGAGTGTACCTCGGTATGCCCATGTGACACCTGTTCTTGGTATCATTTATTTTCTGGTTACAATTTAAGGTGCTGATTATCACCTACAAAGGGCTTAATGGCTCAGGCCCTGGCTACTATTTACAGAACTGTATTTTTCCAGTTGTCTCCACCAGTCTTAAAAGATCAGACAGTGGTAACATGCTTTGAGTTCCTTCAGTTAAGCAGTGTTATGTTATGGGATCCTGGAGGTATGCCTTCTCTGTTGCTGTTCCTGCCCTCCAGAATACTATTCCCCCCCCTCCCCAATTTGGTCCCAATCCTGCCATTCTTTGGAAAAGTTTTAAAAGCATGTTTTTTTCAACAGGCCAGAGATCAATTTGTAATCTCACTTGACTGCTGATAAGTGATTGGAATTTTCTGTATTTCCCCAGTGTGTTGCTTTTTCTGTCTCTGGATATGTGTTCTTATGATGTTTTTAATTCTATACCCTGCCTTGAGTCTTTCTGATTTTCCACTCTTATAAATCAAATAAATTATTATTAATATTAGTAGTAGTACTCATTAGGGAGCAAACCTATGTGAAATTACATATAGATGGCATTTATACAGAATCCTTTTGTTTTCATCAAGAACTGATTGCTTTTTTATTATGTTTCTTGGATTGTTTTTAAAAAGCTGTACCTTCACAAAGCAGTGTATTCATCTGAGAAAATGGAAAGATGTAATAGCAGTATTAGTAAGCTTACTGGCTATTTGAGAAGCTGTTGTGTAAAGGTTTGTTACCTTTAAAGCCCTGCATGGCTTGGGACTGGGTTACCTGAGGGACAGTCTTTTTCCAATAGTTTCTACCCGTCCAATCCAGTCCAGCAGGTTGGGCATGCTGCGGGTCCCATCAGCCAAGTAACGTTAGCTGGCAAGGACCAGGAGATGTGCCTTCTCTCCTGTAGTCCCTGCCCTTTGGAACATCCTCCCTTCAGAGATTAGGACGGCCCCGACCCTGTTGGCCTTTCATAAGGCTTTAAAGACCTGGCTTTGTGTTCGGGCCTGGGGCCCTGAATGTGTTAAGGGCCCTGTCTCTTGGCTCTATTGATAATTATGATAATTTTCTTGGCTGCTGTATATATTATTTTTTGAATTGTTTTTAACTGTTTTTATTGTTTTAGAATTGTTCGCTGCCCAGAGTCACTTGGTTGAGATGGGTGGCTATAGAAATTAAATAAATAAATAAAATACTTGAGCAGTTCAAAGCAGCACTGAAAAGGGACCTCAACAATGGGACAAATCAAGAAGAAGAGAATTCCACAGTTCTGAGCCATTACCAAAATAATGTTTTGTCTTAGTCATATGAGCCTAACCAAATACAATGCTTAATGCATGAATCAGTTCTTAGAATATGGTTTAGTTTATGTAGGCCAAAAATTGGTCCCAAGCCACCTAGGATTTTAAAGTTAAAAACCAGAATTTATGAGTTGCATCAGTCACAGGAATTGCTGTAAATAAATTATGTTTGAATGACTCCCTAGTTGTTTTGATTGTTCTCTTATCTTGATACATGTGAAATGTCTTGATTTATGAGAAATTGCTATCTATATTGGTTTCTTTTTCATACTGTATCTTTAAAAATCAGCTAATTAAAAACTGGAACATTCAGTTCATTGGTATATGTACTTTGCACTAAATGACTTAAGTACAGCAGATTTACAGCCTCGAGGTAGGCGATGGGGTTCAATGTCTTTTATAGTACTGTGAACCTGGCAGTGTTCAAGCTTTCTCATATTTTTTAATTGAAGAAGCTCAGTGGTGCATTCTAGAGAAGAGTGTCTTGAATTGAGATGTAATAGTAATTGATCAGAAAGAATTATATTACATTTGATCCTTGGGTGTTGTATAATTTGTATATTTGCTTTTCTTCTTATTTCTCTGGAAGTTTTATATTCACTAGGTTTTTAATTAGAGCTATTTATGAAGTCGATGGCACTGAGATTTTTGGAAAAGGATCCATGTATGTATAGTATAGCTTAAGATCAAAAGGATTGAGAGGCTGACACTTAGAATAGAGTTTGGAAGTTAACTGTATTAAGAACTCTGAATAAACCCACTTGCATTAGGCTGTGGGGTTTCACCATTTCTTTCTTACCACACCTTGTCATTCTTTATATTCCAAACTTAGATCCTTTTTCTATGCTGAAAATATTTTTTGCAGACTGTGTTAATGGACCAGAGCCGTTTCCAGGAAATGCAGTTGGAACTGGACCAGCTTATTCTAACTGGCGCTATTCTTCTGGTAACATTCAATGCAGCAGGCACAGCTCTTTCAGATTTGCCAGCTTTTACCAACCAGCTCAAAATGGCTATACGAGTATTGCTGACAGGGCTACACATTCCGTGAGTACCATGCAGATTTTGGTCTCTTATAGTATGATGCAGAAAGGTATTGATGTGAAATTTGGAGCTTAGGTCTACCTATTTGAAAGGATCCAGATGTTTTCCCACTTCCATTGGTAAATGGAACTATTGGGAAAGTAGCTGGAAGTTTGGAACTATACAATAGTATTGGGAATATTGTTCTCTATAAATAACTCGGTAGACATTTCTGAACTTGGAACAAGGAACCTGTTTAAAATCAGCTGACCTCAACCTTACCCAAGTTGGTAGTCTTTAGATGTCTGTCTGTTGGGTCTGCAGATGCTTTATTGCCAGCCAGCTAACCTAAAGCTGTGAATGAACTCACATGTGTATTCTGAAAAGTGCAGGGTTGATATTTTTCCCTGAATCATGATTAACTCCTAGTGTGAACCGGAAATGCTACTTTCCTGTCATTTCCTTATGAGTTTAATTTCCTGTTACATTTAAAAGAAATAAAAATGTTGGGACAGTTTCCACTAATGTCATTTTCCTCTGCAGGGTTTCTTGCTGTTTTTGTTTTTGTGTTTGCTTTTTGGCAAGGATTATGATTATGATCTAATCTTCTTTCCTTAGTTCCTTCAACTTGAATGAAACTTTGGCTGTCATAAGTGAAAAGATTTGTGCCGAAGTTAACAATTGCCTTTCCCAGCATGGCTTCGCACCTTTCACACCTGAAAAAGTGATTGTGCTTAAAGGACAAATCCAAGCTCTTGCCAATCCTGATAACACTGTATGCAAACTGATAGGTATGTACTGTAGATAAAATGAGTTCTTGTGGAGAGAGTTTCCCAGTGTTAATAATTGTACAATGTCTGCAAGTCAAATTCATATTTGAGAACATGCCATATGTTAATGTTATAAAAGAGAGAAAATTAATTGGGTAAAGATACCCTTTGTATAGACCATATCTTTTAGTATCCATAAACAGTTTATTTTAGCAGAGTGAACATGGAGGTTAAACTAAACAAAAGTTTTAAAAGATTAAGGATTTTATCCTGAGATAATTGCAGAGGTATAGAAAACAGGATATGGCCCCTTATATTTTATGTCTTTAGATGCAAAGATGCATCGGGATGTTTGGAGTGAAAAGACAGTTATGCTGCATGAACTTTTATTACTTATGATTGAGCTAGGCTTCTTGAATCAGAAAGCAGCACAATCTTTTGACTTGTTTGATACATAAGCTTAGTTTGGCTTTTACAAGATAAATTAGGACCTCTTAAGATGTCTTATTAACTTATTAACTTTTCTTCTCAAGATTCAAGGATCCAGTTGTTTTTGGAGAATTACCTTGCTTGTGGTCATCAGAAATCCCTTCCTCCTGCGCCTGGTGGACTGGGCCCTATTCAGAGAGAGCTGGAGGAGATTGCTATCAAATATATTCGCCTTGTTGACTACAACAAGATGGTTTTCAGTCCTTATTATGATGCAATTCTCAGCAAAATACTGAATAAAGAGTTTCCTTAGCTGTGAAGAAAACTGAAAAATGCCAAACCCATTTGTGTGCTGTCCCTCAACAATAGGGCTTCAGTCCAGGGCCAGATAACAGACGCCTGTTTCATTCTGCTTTTACACTTGTTTTTTTTGTCAGAATTATCAGGGCTGGAAAATGGAAGCTTCCTTCAGAGACCAGTTGTTCATTTAGGATCCCCACAATCAGTCCTGCCATGTGCTGTACCCTTCTGTGTCACCTCTTCTAGCATAGCCCAGTGCTGTTCAGAAGCGTCTTTGAAACATTACGTGGGACGGATTAGTTTAGGTATTAGGGTGAAATGCAGTATATCAAGAATTGTGCTGATCATGCTCCGTGGGACTTTTCTAGAAGCCCCCAGTATGGTTAGTTTGCATCATCTCATGCCACTTGTTCATTCTAGCCAGTAGTTTAGCGATACAGACAAGCGACTGGCTTCAAGTGGTTTGCTGTATTCTGTCCAAGCTGTTTCATACATGGGAAAATGTCCTGAATCTATGCTTGGATCATTACTGTTGGCTCATTGTGGTTAACTTTATCTATTGTAGAAACACTGAAACCTTAAAAAAAGGCTTTCCAACAAAGGTTTCCAAATAATTCAATAGCAGTGATCAAATATCATTATGTAAAATATACATAAACATATATTGGCTTAGTATTTAACTTCGTTGGCCATAATGGCCTGTGGCAACATAAAAGGATAATTATGGAAAACATCCTGTTAGCACGATGCAAAAGTACATGCTAACAGGTTCTTAATATATATGGTTCTTTATATGGTTCTTAAAGCTGTTCTAAAAATTTCAACTTAAATTTCCACATATTCAGAATTTGAATATTGGTAGTTAAAGCACTTTATATGTATTCTGCGAGCCAAGGCTCTTTTGTGTTTCTGTGAGCCATGGTTTTCTATAGCATTTGTTTCTGTATCTGCAGATAGTCGATCAAAATCATATATATTTTTGTAGGGTATTTTCCAGTTCTTTATTTCTCTATTCATAAAAATGCTATCCTGTAGAATCAAGGAGGTGTTTGTCTTTTGATGTCTGAGAACTCTTTTGAAAAGAGCAGTTTCTTGGTTTTCTATTAGTGTGGTATGAAATGCTGCTAAAGACAAGCAAACCTTTATAGCTGAAGAAGTTGAATAAATACAGATCCACTGAATCTTATTGCTCGGTTTTAGTTACATATAGAAAGCTTGGGATTAGAAGAGAAGATGGACCAAACTCCTAGCTTGTATCATCCTCAGTAATAAAAATATAAAGCTCCCGGTTCAATTGCTATTTTCATATAGTTGCAAATACAGGGCTTAGCACACTCATTTGTCAACATTTATTGATTTACATATTACAGATAGTTATTAAGGTAGTTCATTTCTTATACAATTATTATATTCCAAGAAATTTATTGAAACTGCTTGGCTGTCTTAAAATTTTTTTTCAAGAGTTTGTAAACATATAACATCCTGAGTTTTTAACAAAATAACTGGGTTTCTGAAGCAGAATTACCTGTGGATTGCTTTCCAGTGTCAAAGTTTAGTAGAATAAATTCTATTTATTTATTTTTTGTATTAGTTAAGGCTGCTGAATTAAAAAAATGTTATTTGTTAGAATAAAAATTATATTCAGAAGCAGGAATAATAAAGCAGTTGGGAAGACAGATGCAATATGGGGTCTGAACGTTTAGTGGCTGTCTGTTAAATAGGACTGAGCTTTGTTGCCAAACATCAAAAGATTATAGACTGCAGACCTCAGTTTTTTTCACTTAAATAATCCCTTTAGTGATTGGAATTACTTAAAAACAAAATATTTGATCATATTCTAAATAACTAAACAGTAATTGCTCTGACTCAGTGCAACCAAATCAATTATTTTGTATTGGAATGTTTTATTGATTTTATTGCAATTTCTTTGATAGTTGTGAGCTGCCCACAGTTGTTGGAAGTCAGGTGGCATACAAGTTTAATTTTTTAAATTATATTATTATTATTATTATTATTATTATTATTGTCCAGCAATATGTTCAATATATATCATTGAACCCTTTTTGAAGGGTTTGTTGTTTTTAATTTAAAGAGTGCTGCCACAAATGCCTTCCTTTTGAAATTTAATGCTTGCAGAGTTTTAATAAGCAAAAATATGAATCCAAATGTTTTTGTTTTATGTAAAGTATCAGTCTAAAACTAATATTTCTAACATTAAAAAGAAAATGGTCACAGACAGTGAAGCCAAACTTAATCACTCAGTTTCGTGAATTCTAGGAAAGTTAGCCGTTACTTTAAAACTTTTTCATTAAGATTAGTAAGATTTCAGATATATAACTGTTATCTGATCTTTAGATTTACCTATCCACCAATTTTATTGTTTTAAGTTAGGAAGCAGTGGGGAAAAAAACCCTTATTAATGGAAATTCAGTATTTTAGCAGAATTGTCTGACATGTTTGTGTTTATGGGATTCCTTCAATTATTAATATTCCAAACTCGATGTTTTTCCTCAGTGTTGCTGTCGTCTATGCTGTATGTGCATCTTTAATATGAGATGGTAATTCATCTGTAATAAATCAATAATTTTTATGCTATATGTATGTTGTGGTTTCCAGTAATTAGCATTTACCCCATTTTTGTTGTTTTATTTTCATCATTTTTAAACTTTTGTTTACTTCACAAATGTTTGCTGTAGGTTTTGTTTTGGGTTTGGGTTTTTTTAGATTTTTTTTATCCCACCTTATAAATAACTCAAGGTGACAAACATACCTAATACTCCTTCCTCCTCCTATTTTTTTTATCACCCTAGAAGAAAAACACTGCATATAACATTGGCAACTCTTCAAGAAACACAAGGTTTTCTAAAATGATCCCCACATTGTGGGATGAAGTGACAAAGGGGGAGGGAACAGGGATGACAAGGAGTACTGAAGAACTGGAATTCCATTCAGGTTTGGCCCAACAAATTGAACTCTTTCTGTAAGTGTACCTTGTGTGCCTGGTGCTCGTGGATTGATCTCGGTGTAATAACAAGAAGAATCCTGCAAGCCTGAAGTCTATTGACCTTTTGCCTAAAAAGCAGTGAAAGGTGATGGAAAAAACAACGGGAAAAGGGTATCTTTAAATCACATTACTGCATTAATGTGCTAGTCCCTGATGGTAAATAGCATTATGCATTAATGATGCTGAGGCTACAAACAACTCTTCGTGTGATTACAATTGATCTTTAATTGCTATAACAAGTAGTGGTGATGATGACATTATTCTAATACAATTTTCTGATATTTTCACAACTGAGTTTTATGTCCACAGTAATCTGGATTTTTAAAAATTTAGTGTACATGTGCATATAAAGACTTTCATGCACGTTCTCTCAAATTGTCCAAGCCATTTCCTTTCTTCCAGTTTAGTCCAGGGCAAATAATATAGGAAGGCCCAAAGGTCAGGTTCCTCCAGCATCTCTCCAGAGAGACCAAAGAGTGTGTTTCTTGCATGGAGCAGATGAAGTGGAAACTGATGCTAAGTTACAAAGGTCTTATCATTCCTCTCAAAATCCCAATAAGACATGTGCTAGGGAATGTATGTATCTTCTTCGGTTATCGTGGCAGCTCTTCTACTTAAATTATCATAAGACACACACAGATCTCTGTTGCAATATAGAGGGAGTCACTTTTCATATCAAACTGCATTTTGCAAACTTCAACTTGAAATGTGAACTGTTACCTGAGTGAATTAAAAGTACTGAGAAAGGGCAAAATATTAGGTTGCAAAGACAAATCCTATAAATAGTTGTATTGAGTGCAGAAATACTAAGTTTGAAATTATGATTTACATTGTAATTAGTACCTTCCATACAAATAAAGGTATCAGGCAAGTGGCTTCTTAAAATCATCCTTATTTTGAAGCTGGTTTGTATGCTGGGAAATAGGAGTTATCAGTAGGGGGAGATGGGCAGAGATAAGTCAAATAAATAAAATAAATTTCATAATTTTAAAAAAATACCAGAAACCTTTTCTGCATAGAGTTTACATAATAGAAACAAAACTTATGTTAATCTTGTGATTGACAAAAAAGCCAGTTGTATCTTCCCTAAATTATCAGTGAATAGTGTAGTGTGTCCAGAGTATTTGCTGACCAGCATTAATTTGAGTGTCATTGTATGTTGGAACTTTTCAGTTGAAAAGGATCTCAAACCCTCTTCTATTTCTATATTTCTGCAGAATAATAATTCTATTTCTATAAATTATTTATTAGCAGAATCCTTCTAGATACTTTTGTGTATTTATTTTCATACTCTGGACAAATTGCTTATTTGTATCTTAATACCGTGATATCGTTAATTGCATCTTTGAATTTCAAATATTCAGTTTCTCTTCAGAGTTTATTTCAGGTCACCTTGTCATTTAACAATCAACTCTATAAGGATGGATGCACAGGGAATGACACTTAGAAAAATAATGCTGAAGACAAAACTTTAAATATACACTGATCCAAGGAAAAGAAATACTGGCAGAGCCAGCCAACTTCACTCCAGGATCTAGGATGATTAGTGGTTTTGAGGTACTGATGATTAATCTATGAATCAGCTAGAACAAAACTCCATGAGACATAACTTTATGGAGATCCTTTATTTGAAAGGACTGGGTTTTTTTCTATTTTAAACTACAAAACAGCTTCCATTCATTCTGCCATAAATAAAAATGAAGAATAAGGCAGGACAGACACTACATGAGCAAAGTGAGAACAGTTTGTTTTTCAGAAATGTAAATTTAAAATATTTCCCCATTATAACCTTTCCAGTTTTTAAAAATAAAACTGTCAGAATCCCCACAAGAATTCAATTGGTGCGTGAGGATACATCTGAAGACCAACCAAATACATATCAAACATTTTGCATGGTTTGTGTTCCAAGATGTAGTTTCTGCCAGAGCTCAAATTTGCTCATTCTAAGGTTCATCTGCCTTTTTCCTTTTCTGATGAAAAAACAGCTGGTAAAAAAGAGGCACCACAGTAACAAAACAACCTCAGTTGCAAGATGCATGTTAGAAACTTCCAATTTCTTTTAAACATTTGATTTGTTGAAAGACAAAATATTACAAGTCCATTATTTTCACAGCTGAATTTGCAACATGTTTCACCGGATTCGCTTCTGTTGTCGTGCTCTGTAAATGTCATGAATGGGAGGGACCACTGAACCTTTTTCCTCATCATCATCTGAATCTTCATTTGGTCTTTTGACAGATTTATTGAGAAGGGTGTTATTTTCCAAAGGTCCATTCCCTTCCATTGAAAGGTCAGTCAAGCCTCCCGTAATAATCCGTACAGCTTCATCCACAGCTGTGGAAGAGGAAAGAAAAGAGTTTGTTTTGTGAAAAAAGGTTTGCTCAATAGCGATCATATACTTAATATACATTCAGAGATATTATAGATGAACCACATTCATTAGTAATTCCTGAGAAAGGAACAGAATACTGTCCAAATATTTTTGCCCAAACAGCCATTCCTCAAAGTTAAGGATGACCCTGTGCATTCAACACCCTTAATCCATTCAGCCTATTGGAACCACATATGGGCGTGAAATGCTTCAAAAAGCACACAGATGGGAGAAACAGAGAGCAAACCCCACATTTGCTAGCACTGATGATGTTAGCTAGTCGGGTAATGAAACATCTGCACGCACTCAGCCACCAACCCAGTCAAACCTCCTTACTGGTGGTCACCATAACCAGATCAAAAGTTTCCAATTTCTGGCACGCAGACCCCCCCCATCCAGTTTCTGTAAGAACTGCCTTCTGTTCCAGGGCAATCCTGGCAAAGTTCTATTGCATCACCAGCCTTGTCCCTGTTCCGTATCAAGAGTATTTCTCCCCCATCCCATTATCCCAGTTAGCTGCTTTCCTAACTGGAACAGGGACAACACAAGTGATAATGTACTACCACTGGATATTCCCATAATGGGGGCCAGAGGAAAAACAACTTACTGTCTGGAAGTTTGCATCTTCTAACAATCTCCATGAGTTCATCTACTTGCACAAACGGACCCTGCAAGAGAAAAAAGATTAGCTATTTAATAGGAATATGGTCATATAAGCACTATAATTAAACAAATGTAATATTAATCAACTGAAGCAGTAAACTACCAAACTGCAAAGTCTAAAGAAGATTTCATTATATTACAACTAACCTGAAAGCACACAGGAGGTGGGAGAAGTTTCATTAGAACTACAGCAGCAGGTGGGACAGGAAAGACACCACCAGGAACTGGATGTAAACCAGGAGCTGGTGGATAATAAAACACAATTAACTATTACCACTCTTACATCAAAAGTAACAAGATAAGCCTTGATTAGAATTACATGCTTTTGATTTTGGAGATGAACCTTACAAAGCACCATACACAATGAGTAAAAATCTGAGATCAAATTACACTAACTCTAACTTTGTGCTATACAAGTTGCTACACGCTCTTAAACGAATATATGCGTAAGGGTAAACTAAAACATTTTTTTAAATAAAGCATCAGTCAGAATATAGCAGAGAATATCTCTTTTTATTCTGACAAAATTTAATAATGAACTTACGTGCTAAATGTCTTGGCTGAAATGGAATCATCTGCTGGGTATCTGGTTTCGGATATTCTGGCTTTCTGTCTACTTCATCTTTTAACACAGGTACTATTGAAGGTGCCACAACAGGATCTGGAATTATGGTTGCTAGCTTTGCACGAGAAACATCCTGGAAATTGTATTTAAAAACAAAAGTGTAAATGAATCCATGTCATTAAATAAATAAATAAATAAATAATCATTAAATTTTCAAAGTATGCCATGGACATAGTGGAATGTCCTCTGCTAACTTACCTTATAACCAAGGGCTTTGAGTTCACTGGCAGAACAAGGGTACAGATCCATGAATTTATACCTGTCTACCAACAAAGCTGTTTCTTTGCCCTCATACTCCTCC